AACCTTCTAAATTTTTTAATCTCAAAGCAATTCGGGGTTTTCTATTGGAAGTGTCGGGGAGTTTATTATATTCCTTTTCCGTTTTTTTTAATAATATTCTTAATCTCTCTAAATAAGGCAAGGTTTCGTCCCATTCATTACCAGTATCTAATTTCGGTTTTGGAGTTTCTTCGATTTCTAATTCCTCATATTCGGCTTGGCTTACTCATTTTCTCCGTCCGGTTTTTTCATCAATAATAGACACTACCGAAGCCCCAAAAAACCTGATAAATAACTTATCAAATAACGGATAATAATCCGATAATTTAATCACTGTGATTAGGAAATTATTCAACAATCGGCTCACACTATTTAATTCATAAGCATCTTGTTTGGTAATTGAAACATTGGCATCTTTATTTTGCCGATAATGTTCTTTGCTAGTTAGATTTTGCCGTGAGGTAGTTTTATTAAAATTTCCTGATTGAATATTTTGTCCTTGTTCGGTCTGTTTATTGGCTAATTGTTGTTGTCTTTGAAATCCCCCAAATTGTCCTGAGGTTAGATCGACATTAGAAAATATGGGGACTGATTGAGAATTGATTTGTTTTTGTTCGTTAGTTTGTTGATTATTACTGCCTATATTTTTAATATTGCCCGCATCTATTTTAGTGTTGTCGTAATTTTTGCTAGTTCTAGTGTCAGTAGTTAAAGTGAGTTTTTTTCAGTAGTTTTTTATTTGTCGAAAAGTATCCTGCCACAAATATTCCTTTTTTCTAACTTCTACTATGACATTTATAACATTAGTCTTAAAAGTAGCAACAAAAATATCCTCGTGAGGTTCAAAAGTTCGATATTGATATCGGTCAAAATAATGTTTGGCAATGGGGCTGGCTAATAGTCCATAACCTCCACTAGCAAGAGTTTTTTTTAATTCCTCGGTAGTGTCAGTAGCAGGAATATATTCATAAATGATTTGTTCTAAATCTTTTTTTATTTCCGTTCGGGTTCAAAACTCATTAAATCCTCCTGGAAATAAACGGGCTAGTGATTGTTTTGGGACTGTTTTTGTTTCGTTGTTTGGCATATTATTCTCAAATGTCTAATTCTCGTTGGCTATCGGCTTCTTTTTCGTTATATTCTTTTACTTTTGGCAAGCAAGTAGGGCAAATAGAATATAATTTATCGGAAGCATCTAATTTTATTTGATATTCTTTTTCTTGTTTGGTTTCTTGGCAGTTGTGGCAAGTAAATTTAGAGGATTTATTTTTAGTTTGTTGTCGAAATAATTGTCAGCAGGATTTACATAAGGGGCCTTTGTCGGGGATTTTTAGGACTAGTGAGGAGATTGCTTGTTCTTTTTGACAATTATAGCAAGTAAATTTTGGTTCTTGGTTGTTTTCTTTATTTTTTA